TTGTTGAAAACCCATCTCAACAACAATACAAGCTATCCCTGGATGTGATGCCTCCGTAGAGTCCAGCTGCCCACCATCCGCACCAACGCCTGTGCAAGACGCTGCCATAGTCACGGAAGCCACCCAAACACAACAGTCTCAGAGGTGCCCTCCGTCGCACCGCGCCTCCTGCGATCAGCACCACGACGTCACTTAACCTCGGTGAACTGTTCTGCAACTTTTTGGTCAACATGTCAATTACGCTCGGTTGGAAGGCATCGCTAGTAGGTTGCAGGCCATCGCTTGTCCCCTGAGCTTTCCACCGTACTGCGGCTAAGCCAGAACGCGCGAGCATCATGTCAGGCCCTCGCCTTGTTGGGAGTATTGCATATTGAAGAAGAGAAAGCAACATAGCCGAAAGTAACAAAGATTTTGAAAAACTAGCGATGAGTCTCTGCGAAGACACAGGCGCCGACTGGAACGTCCTCGAACTTTGTGGAGGAGTCACCTGGGAGTGTATACACAATCAAAGGAACGTCGCTGTTCCCAAAATCAGGCAGTCGTTTCCGTTTTTCTCATATCGTTTTACAGGGCTTTTGGCAACATGCGGCATGTCTTTAGCATCTTGCAGGAAATTGACAAGGTGTGAAACTTTAAACTTATTTCGACACTCTTGGTAGCATGACTGTGAAATCCGAGAAGCATTCGCAAAACTCCGGCTCACTTTTCAGTAACGTCACTGTAAACATGCTATCATGCGGCAAGTTTCAAAAAACATATCGTCATCGCTGTGCTGTTTTTCTCGTTCTGAAGAGCTAAACTCGATGCACATCAGTCACATCACGTTGTCGATGTTCTTTTGTACATCTTTTATCTTTTGTACTCTTTATCTTACAGCAATTCAGCAAAAATCAAAGACTGCCCTTCCCTGGGTTCTCCTGCAAAAACCCCACGTTTAAGGAATCGAATTCAACGGATTTTTGTTTTCTCTTTGTTCTCATGCTTTCTTGGTCTTGATATCAGTGATCTCAGGCAGTGCGCCAAGCACCATGGACAGCGAGTCAGTTGCTGAAACCTAGTGTACGACCACTTCTCTCAAGCAGTCCGCTATCTTTTTGGTTTTGGAATCAAAGAATATAGCAAAACATATATGCCATGTGCCATCATGGCGGTCTGACATGCCATGCATCATGCATGCCTCGGGCTGCGAGCTGGGATTATCTGACATTGTTCAAACCGCTTTGGCGATCTAAATTCTACTGATAAGCATCGCTCCTCTCGGAGTTTTCCTACTATCACCCCCCAACACGGTCCCAAATGAATCCAAATGAATATGCGAGAGACATTAATTAAATTAGACTATATAATCTTCATAGTTGTTGTTACATGTTCAGTGGTAAGAACTCCTATTGCTCTGGGATTTGAATGCCAGTCCGCGACGTCACTCCTTGGACGTGGTCGATCTTCTACAGTGAGGAATGTGCATGGTGGCAATGGCTGGAGCAGGGCAAACATCCCACATCATCCCAGCAATCGGATAGAGAACTCTCATTAAGTCACCAAATATGGAGTCAATGGTGCCGCTACTAGGAACAAGTGCATCGCTACTAGTAACACAAGGAAGGTTTCGCTCCACAGGATTCAATGAGCTCTATAATTACACGTCTGCCTGCAACTTGTCGGAAGGAGTTCTACTGGGCAACTGACGACCTTCGGCTTGCTTGGAGGCATTTCCCGTCCTGGCAACGACCCAACAGAAAGTTTGCAGTGAATCTGGTGCATATTGCGACCCAACCTCATAACGATGGCCTCCAACCTAGAAGCGGCGGCCTCCAACCTAGAAGCAATGGCCTCCAACCTGCTAGAAGCGCTGGCCTCCAACCTAGAAGCGCTGGCCTCACAACCTAGAAGCGATGGCCTGCAAACGATGGCCTCGAACCTAGAAGCGATGGCCTGCAACCTAGAAGCGATG